GACTCTAGGAAGATATAAGGACTAAAATAAAAAGTGAGAGGTGCTGACCATGAAATTACAAATTAGGCTGCACTAGCATTGCTACCAATAACATCTATGATATAATGATGCCAATAGATGTCTAAGTTATTTTTCAGGAACTTGGAGGCAGCTTTTTTTTTTTCTTTTTTCAGCTGAAACCACTGATCCTTCATTTGGGCCTGCACAAGTATCTGATAAATAACTCTTCTGTCTACCCTCTGATCATAGTAACCTTCATTTTCTGAATTACATCCTACAGTGATGGCTCCATTACACATGCAGAGACCACCAATAACTTCACTTTTTCTTACCTCCAATCACTTTTCCTAAATCATAGATAACCCTGCTTCTTTATGCCATAAATAACCATTAAAATCTATCCTTGGAGTGGCAGACTTGAGACATCCTCTGTCTTCACACTCTGGCTGCTGCTTTGTGCATACACATTATTTTACCAAACTCATTTCAGTGATTGGCATTCTGTACGGCATGGAAGAAAGGGCCTTCCTTAGTAATTATCAACCTTGGTTTAAACATATTCACACTTTCTAACTGATGCTACAACTTCCAATTGCAGTTCTATTTTAAAGAAATACTAGTTGTATTTTCCCAACTCAAGATAACGTCAGTATCACCCACTTTCCTTCACCACCACCTAGATTTTCTTGTATTTACCTGATAATAAGTAAGGTTTCTCCTTATTCACCATGAATTTAAAACTCACAGAAATTTATTGATTTGCCAATGCAGTAACTTACTTACCAGAAAAATTAAGAAATTATGTAATTTTTAACTATGCAGAATTTACCAGTTTGCATAAACTAATCTGCTGCCACTAAATATTACTCTTGAATTTTGCTTCGTTCCTCAACAGCTCTCAAACTATAAAGGCTTTACAGTACTACTGTCCATACCATGTATTTTTCAAATACTATTCTTTAAATTCTTCAGTTATTATGTAAAATAACTTACACTTAAGAAAACACGATACTAAAGTCACATTTGACTCTAAAACCATATTTCAAACCAGAAATTTTTTAAAAAATTAGACTTCCAAAAAAGAGGAAATACACTTAAAAGGAGAGAATACTACATAGAAAGTGAGTGGGAAGAAAAAAATTCATTATACAATGGTTACACATTAGAATTCATTAGTCACTTTACAGAGGCAAGGAGTAGAACATTTTACTGTTTGGTCTACATACATAGCCTTTTGGAATATCTGTGTCCTCATTACTTCCAGGATCATTTTCTAAGTGCTGCTTGATTTTTTCTTCTAGTCCCACAGCATCTGCTCCTTGATACTGATCAATCCTCACTTTATTTCGAAAAAACAAAAATGTGGGTGTTGCTGATATATTGTTTGTGGCAGCTGTTCCCTAGAATTGGCAAATTAAAACGGTACTATGAATTAAAACAACACTTAAACCACTTTTAACATTCATTTTATAACTTTATGGCAGTTAAATATCCTAAGCTTAAACTAAAAATATGTAAATATATATTATTATTTAACAAAAAGCAGACCTATTTCTCTTAAGAGAGTTCTCATTGGGACACAGCTACTCTTATAGCTACAATAAAGAACAGTCCCCAACCTGTTTTTTTAAAATCATTTTTATTGCTGGGGATTTAGGTCAGTGGCACCATGCCTGCCTCACAAGTGCAACATCCTGAGTTTGATCCCTGGTACCAGAAGAAAAAAAAGAAAAAAAAACAAAAGAAAAGAAATAAAACGAAACCATTTTTTATTATTAAATACGCCATCCAATTAGCTTCTGATCCAGAATTGTACTTCTTATCAGACAGCTCTTTCATAACTATATATTACAGATTTCTCAAAAGGAACTACAGGATATTGATAATCCAATACAAACCACAGCCACTAGGAAAAAGTACACATTTGAAAAATGGCCAACCTACCCATAAAGAGGAAGCAGTACTTTTTGCACTGCAACCTCGACTCAATTTCTTAATAGAACAGCATCTAGTCTCTCACTGAACATACTGTTCAACAGTTATCTTTTAAAATTCTGTCCCAGCTGAGCATGGTGGTGCAATCCTGTAATCTCAGGACTTGGGAAGCTGATTCAGGAGAATCATTTTGAGTTCAAGGCCAGCCTGGGTGGGGTACATGGAATTCAAGGCCTGCCTGAACTACATAGTAAGACCTTGTCTCAAAAACACAAAGGAAAAGGGAAAGGGAAAGGGAAAGGGAAAGGGAAAGGGAAAGGGAAAGGGAAAGGGAAAGGGAAAGAAAAGAAAAGAAAAGAAAAGAAAAGAAAAGAAAAGGAAAGGAAAGAAAGAAAGAAAAGAAAGAAAGAAAGGGAGAGAGAGAGAGAGAGAGAGGGAGGGAGGGAGGGAGGAAGGAAAGAAGTCCTATTTCTACAATTTTATACTAGATGGAAATTAGGAAAATTAACTAGAGAGTATCATGGCTTCAACTTTTTGACAAATATTGAAAAAGAATAGTAAAACAAATGTGTCACCACCTTATATATTCAAACACTATGAAAAGATAACACTATAGTATTTTTGTTTGGTGGTGGGATTTTTTTGTTTGCAGTATCAGGGATCAAACTTGGGACCTTGTGCTTGCGAGGTAGGCACAGTGCCACTGAGCTAATCCCTGGCTATAGTATTTTTTGAGACAGGATCTCACTCTGCTGTATAATTCAGGATAGCCTTAAACTCGCAGCAATCCTCCTGCCTCAGTCTCATGAGTGCTAGGGTTACAGACACATACCACCACACCTGGCCTCTGCACTATTTAAAGAAAAAAAAAGCACAAAGACGACCTAAGTATGGCTTCTGCAATAACTATGATTGGCCTAGCAGAACAGTGTTCTAAAGAAATAAAAGATACACTATAAGTTACATAGGTAAATTTTCCTAGTATCAACAGACAGTAGTAAGAACAGGTAAAACCAGTCTTACTACTTTAATGAACAAAATATATGCATCTTCAACGTTATCAACATTAAAGGATAATGTAATATTTTAAAGTTTCTTTCAAAAGTCTTGAAAATCCAATATTTTACACCTTGAGAACATCTCAACTTGGATTTGCCACATTTCAAGTGCTCAAAACACACATGTGGCTAGTGGCAGTTTGAGATTAGAAACAATGAATACTGTCCTTAAAATAAGGACCAGTGATTCAGTCTGGTGAGATGTAAATACTAAAACATAAAAATATAATGTAGACCTAAAACTAGATTCCCAAACTATTTAATATTTTTAAATTTTTCCACATTTAGAAATGTAACAAGGACAAAGCCTCATTGAAAAAAAAAAAAAAAGGAAAAGAAAAAGCTATAACACTGAGAAGTGGTTCCTTAGAATAAAGGACAAGTATACGAAGGGGCCTTGCAAAGTTCTTTTCTCCCTAGCAATTCCCCATATTTCTACATACGAGAATGCAGAACTCTTTTCTTTTTCTTTTTGGTTTTATGAGACAGGGTCTTGCTATATAGTTTGAGCCAGCCTTGAATTCACTATGTAGCCCAAGCTGGCCTCAAAACTTGTGGCAATCCTCCTGTCTCAGCTTCCTGAGTGCAGGAATTACAGGCAAGCAGTATCACACCTGCCTGGCATTTTCTTATATTCTAAGGAATAACTATGTGCATTAGGAGATAACTAATGGATGGTATTAGTGTTGGATTTCAAGCAGATTCAAAATTTTAAAAAGGACTCTTCTCCCTTACCTGACACTGATGTACATCCACCTCCAAGAAAACAGCCTGTGGATACTTATTACTCATAGAACTGAATGCTGGAGCAATCCTCAAACATGGTCCACACCTGTGGAAAAGGAAGAGTGAAATTATACCAAAGACTACATACCAATTTGTACTCATTTATTTGTTGAGACAGGCCCTCATTGTGTAATTCAGGCTGACCTTGAACTCACTGCAATTCCCCTGCCTCCACCTCCCAAGTGCTAGGATACAGGTGTGCACCACCACCCTTGGCTGATTTTTACGCTAAAAGTAGCTGTCAACTGATACTTCTGGCCTAAGACTGGTATTGTCCACAGGGTTATATATATAATACTTGAATCACTATTGCACTGTCTTAATGAGTATAGATATTACAGAAATCTCAGGTTTAATATTAAGTCTTCCAAGTAATGTACTCAGGAATGAAAAAGGAAAAAACCCAAATAAATGGTGGATAAAAATGAATCCTCACTCCCTATCTCATTTCATAAACAAAAACCAAGTCCAGGTGGATTGCAGACCTAAGTGTATCCAGTTAAAAAAATGGATTTAAAAAACAAACACATTGGATACTTTTAAATATTTGGAGTAAGCAATGGTTTCTTAACACAAAAAGCACTAAACAAAAAGGAAAGGATCGCTATAGTGGAATATATTTAATGAACTAGAAGATATTAAGATTAAGAGCTTTTATTCACCAAAAGACACTGTCAAGAGCGTGTAAGACAATTTATAAACTGAAGCAATATTTAGCAAAACCAAAAAAAAATAAAAATAAAAAATCACGTGGGATAACTGAAAAATACAGTGAATATTTAAATTACTAAAAAACTGTTTATGAAGTGAAGTAGGGAGTTAAGGTTCATTTTTTTCCCCTAGGAGAATATCCAGTTGGTCCAGCACTACTTTTTGAAAAGATCACATTTTCTTTCTTCTTTTTTTTTTTGAGAGAGGACCTCCCTGTGTAGTTCAGGCTAACCTGAAACTCACTACACAGCCCAGGCTGACGACTTGCGGCAATTCTGCTTCAGCCTCCCAAGTGCTGTGATTATAGACATGTGCCACCACGTATGGCTTGTATGCTTTTAATTAATACAACTTTATAACTGTTTTTAATGTCTTGTAATTCAGCTTCCAACCTTAAACTGGCTTAGGTGTTTTTGATATTTCCATATAAATTTTAGAATGTAATTTGTTAGTTTTACAAGAAAAGACTTCTGGAATTTCTCCAAAGTCAAAATGACCAGGAGAGGAAAATGTTTTGAATCAATTCAGCATACAAAGGCAACGCAACTTAAAACAATACAAAACCAGACTTTCAGAACTGCTTCAGAAAGTGGCAAGAAGGATGGAAGGACAGGTGGAGTGAGAGGGATTAAAGGTAATGTCTTTTATTGTAATAATGTTTTAAAAAACATTTACCCAGCTGGGCGCCTGTAATCCCAGCACTCGGGAGGCTGAGGCAGGAGGATCACTGTGAGTTCAAGATCAGCCTGAGCTGCACAGTGAGTTCCAGGTCAGTCTCAACTACATAATGAGACCCTGTCTCAAACCCCCCCCAAAAAATTTACCCTATTTTTTATTCCAATACAATTTCCACATTACACTGACATCATCCCTCTATTCAGCAATTATGTAAGAGCTAACTGGTGTTAAAACAAAAACTTTCTTGTAGCTGACATTCAGACTTTATCCAAGCTGCACAGTGAGTTCCAGGTCAGTCTCAACTACATAATGAGACCCTGTCTCAAACCCCCCCCAAAAAATTTACCCTATTTTTTATTCCAATACAATTTCCACATTACACTGACATCATCCCTCTATTCAGCAATTATGTAAGAGCTAACTGGTGTTAAAACAAAAACTTTCTTGTAGCTGACATTCAGACTTTATCCAACAATGTTACCTTGTAAATAAAACTAGAAGTTGCTTGCTTGCTTTGGGAGGGCACTGGGGATTGAATTTAGGGCCTTCACAACCGAGCTACATCCCCAGCCCATTTTTTAACTTTGAGATAGTCTTGCTAAGTCTCTAAACTGCCCAGGCTTCAGTTTGAACCTGCAACCCTCTTCTCTGCCTCAGCCTCCCAGAGTGCTATTAGAGGTGTGCACCACTGTGCCTAGCTGATTAGTGATTTTATATGATGTTCACCTTTCTTAACAGTGCATTCAAGAGCAAACAGTTGTGCATGATGGCACATACTTGTAATCCCAGCACTCGGGAGGCCAAAGCAGGAGAATCGCTGTGAGTTGAGGCCAGTTTGAGCTACATAATGAGTTCAAGGCCAACCTGAACTGCATGGCCAGACTCTTGTCTCAAAAAACGGGCAGGGGGATTTAGCTTTGTGGTGCCACGACCTGCCTCGCAAGCTTAAGGTCCAGAGTTTGATCCCAGTACCAAAAAAAAAAAAAGTAAACAAATTTCAGACCTAGGGATATGACATGTAATTCACAGGCATGCATAAGGCCCTGGATTCAGTCCCAGGAACCCCCTCAAAGGGAAAAGAAACATCCAACTTATTAGCTGATATGAAGTCACCCAATTTCTTTTTATAAAATAAGGATTAGGCCTTTTTCTCTTGAAGGGCCCACATGCTATTTCTTCATGCACTTTTAAATATTGGCCTAATTTATTAAATAACATTTCTATTCTTAAAAAAGAGATTCTCTGAAAAACTTTCCTAGCTTACAAACCCAGCATGTCTGAATTTCAAAATTATATTTTCTTTCTCTTATAAAGACCTTGATTAGCAGCACCAGTCAAAGGTTAGGATTTTTTATTTTGTTCCAAAACAGTCTAGAGATCACTGAGTCCAGAGGTTTATAAATGGGGGGGGGTATTTTTTCTATCCTGTACCTTTTCTTTAGCTGAAAATTTTGTGTTTAGTCCATTATATAAAATGGATATGAAAAATTTTTAATTATGGTTTGTGAAACAGAATATAGCAATCAAACCTCTAGCTTACTATAATACATAAAAGATCTACATAACCTAACACAATTACCTTATAAGAACTTAAGACAAGAAAAATTAAATGACTTGCTTATACTCAAACACCCTAGTTGGTGGCAGGGCCATGACTAGAACAGTTTCTAAATCCAATCCAAGATAAACTTTCTGTGAAAGCACTACCTTAGATTCTTATTAACAAACATTAATTTTTCTTAACAGACATATTCTAACTTCTATTTTATGAACTTGCTAACCATTCTCCCCTATTTAATATAGTAGCCAATACACTATCTCAAGCAATAGCTTATGTAAACACATACAAATGGTAAATAGATAAGGAAAATACATGTGCTCTTCAAGTCATATTGTAAGTTTTATTCTACTGGGAATAACTTTAAAATAGGCAACTTCTAAAAGTATCATATTTACTAACGGGCAGATTTAACCATAACTAGTCCTATTATTTAAGATAGGCAATACTCACTTGACACCTACTATATGTTTAAATCCTTAAACTTTTGTGACCTGAACTACTGACATACAGTTCAATTCCAGACTTCAACTATTTTTATTAGTGTCTGACACATAGTGATTACATTCAGCTGAGCATTAATACGTATACATATTACATCTTTATAATTTTTACTCCCCTCCTGCCCTTTGCTTCCTTCTTCCCCAGATCCACTTCCTAAAGAGATAGGAGACAGGGTGTGGAAAACATGGCTGAGGAAATAAGCAGGACCTGTTAATTACAAGATCTCAGTACAGCACCAAATAATTCCCAGGACCCTATATGCAGAACTTCTCACAGATTCCCATAGATGTGGGCAGCATACAAGAGACAGGGTGAAAAAAATTTTTTTTTTTAATTTAAAAAGAGGATGGGAATGGGGATTTAACTCAGTGGTTCCACTGCCTGCCTTGCAAGCCCAAGGACCCGAGTTTGATCTCCAAAACAAAAAACAGAGACAGGATACCACAAGGAGTCCACTATCCTGACTCTTCACAGTAGCTCACCTGTTGTCCCCCAGACCAGGGTTTTCTTTTATTTTTGCTCTTTTTCTTTTTTATGCAGCCCAAGTTTGCTCTGCAGAGCCACTTTCTCCCTTACCCTTTCATCCCTCACTTTTCAAATAAACTTTTGACATGGTTTTTGGATTGTACGGTTCAATTCTTTCTTTGAGGCAAAAAGGCCCTGGAATACATTTAATTAAAGAATTTTAAAAAATCATATCACAGCAATATATGTGTACCCATGTTTATAGCGGCACAGCTTGTAATAGCTAAAACTTGGAAATAGCCAGTTGCCCATCAACTAGAGACTGGATAAAGATGTGTTTTTTTCTTAATAAAATGGAGTATTACTCAGCCATAAATGAGAAACTGGAGCCATTTATAGCTAAACGCATGTACATTGAAGCCATACTCAAGTCAAATAAATAGGACTGATGTGTAAATACTGAATATCTCTGGTGTGAGAAACTGAAAGTGTAAATAAGAATCAAAATGTATAATAGATAATGTGAAATAGAAAGAAAAGGTCTAAAGGGGAAACAGAAGTGGGAGGAGTAGGGGAAAGGAAAAATAGGAGAAAAGGAAAAATGGAAACAAAGTCTTTGGGAACAGGGAAGGGTTGAAGGGAGGGCAGGGGAATGGGGAAAAAAATAGGAAACAAGATATATCACATAAGGTACAAATTCCCAATAATGTTATATTGAACACCTAAAATATACCAATAAACTTAATTTTTAAAAATTAATAATACAGCATATTATTGTTACCTATTGACACTTTACTGGGTAATAGCACACTGAACTTCTTACTCCTAACTATAACTTAGTACTCACTGATCAGTTTCTCCCCATCCACCCTTTACCTACTCCTCCCAGTCTCTACTAACCACCATTCTACTCTCAACTTCTGAGGTCAATTTTTTAGACTCCATATATAAGTGAAAACACATGGTGCTTGACTTATCTTAATTAACATTATGATCTCCAATTCTATGCATGTTGTTGCAAATGACAGGATGTCCTCCCTTTTATGGTTGAATAGTATTCTATTGTGTATACATACACTACGTTTTCTTTACCATTCACGACTTGATGAACCACCACTATGAACAGTGCTGCAATAAATGTGAAAGTGCAAATGTCTCTATGAAAAATAAATAAATAAAAGCTTTACTTTTCTTCATTAGAAAATAAAATTTCAATTAAAAAGTTTAATCCAAGGTCTCAACCTGCCCTAGTCTTACAACTACTCACTTCACTTACTAATATTAACTGCCTGGTTCAAACAGACTATCAAATATAACTTTGTATTTCCATTAACTACTTTCAGTCTCCAGCCATATCAATTAATATACTATAGACATAATTAATATATTACTTGGACAAGCTACCATATCCACCAGAACTCAACATCCTTATATATTTGGATATACTTCTTAGGTGGTTACAATGATACCTAACCAACTACAAAGACCTGCCTTAAGAAAACTGAATACATGAACTGAGTATGGTGGCACACCCCTGTAATCCCAGTACTCAAGAGGCTGAAGCAGGAGGATTGCTGAGAGTTCGAGGCCATTGTGACTACACAAGGGAATTCGGGACCAACTTGAACTAATTAGTAAAACTCTGTCTCAAAAAACAAGCCAAACCAAACAAACAAACAAACAAAAAACTGTATAGTAAATACTGCCTAGAAAAGTGATACATTTACCATTTCAAGATAAAAATCAATCAGCCACACTATTTAATAAGGGAGAAAATATATAATCTTTTAATTTAACAGTCCATCTATATACATCATAACAACAAAACTTTATTATCTATATCTACTTAAATGTTTGTGGGCATACTGAAGAAGTAACTATTAGAAAAAAATTTGTTTTTAAAATGTTACCAGAATATAGAATTCACATAAATAAAATTTCTTTTTCTTGAAACAAAATGAAAAGGACACGTTATTATTCCCATTTTATAGAAGGAAAAAGATTATTGGAGTGAATTATCCAAGGGAGTAAATTAGTTTGTACACAGAGTCCTGGTTAAATCATTTAAGGTAGTATGTACTGAAAAGTGAATTAAAAGCAGACTACGGGAGCTCCTCGAATGCAAATGTCCTCAACACTGAAGCATCACAGCAGCCAAAGATGGTGACCCAAGTGTCCATCAACAGAAGAATGGATAAACAAAATGTGGTATACATACAATGGAGCATTTATACAGAAATAAAAAGTAAAAACATCTACTACATACTACCCTAATTAACCACAAAATATACTAAGTTGAAAAAAGGACAAATATTATTACGATTTTACTCATATAAGATGTATGAAACGGCAAATTCCCAGAGACAGAAAATAGAGTAAGTTACCCGTGGGTGAGCAGGTAGGCAGAGGTATACTGCTCAGTAAGTACACAGTTTTGTCCCTTAGGAGAAGTGAGGATGGGGAGTTACTACTCAGTGGGTAAGAATTTCTGTCTGAAATGAAGTAGGAGTAATAATGGTAGCACAACATTGTGAATGTATACTCAATACCTCTGAATTCTATATTTAAAATTACTGAAGAGGTAGCCAGGAGTGGTGGCATGTCTTTAATCCCAGCATTTGGGAAGGTGAGTCAGGAGGATCACTGCTAGTTTGAAGCCAGCTTGAATTACATAACTCTGTCATCAAAAAAAAAAAAAAAAAAAAAAAAAAAAAAAAGAGAGCGAGAGAGAAAAGAGAAAAAAAAAAAAAAGAAAATCTGGGTGTGGTGACAGACTCCTCGAATCCCACAACTTCAGAGGCTAAGAGCAGAACTGCTGCAAGTTCAAGGCCAGTATGGGCTACATACTGAGTTTAAACAAGGCCAGCCTGAGACATAGTAAGACCTTGTCTCAACCACCCCCAAACAAAACAAACAAAAATTATGGAAGTGGCAATTTTTATGTGCGAGATAGATAGATAGACAGACAGACAGATAGATATACATACACATTTTTAAAAAATGGCCTGAAGAAAAATATTGTGGAGACATTGAAGATTCCTGAACAACAATGTACATGTTGTTTTAGTGAAGCTAATTTAGACAGGATGGATAAAACATGGATATTGAAAATAAGGAATATGGCTTGAAACAGAAGTGGAAAAGAAAATTTTTTTAAAAAGAGATGCTAGAAAGCCTTATTTACCCACCTGTAATCCCAGCACTCTGAGGAGTTGAAGTAGGAGGAGCAAAAATTTCAGCCCAACCTGGGCAACTTACTAAGACCCTGTCTCAAAATAAAAAATAAAGGGCTGTGGTTGTAGCTCAGTGCTAATGCCCTGGATTCAATCACCAGTACCCACTACTCTGAAAAGTACAAAACAAGCAAACAAACAAAAAAAAACCACAATGCCCTCAGGCTACAACAGGTTTCTCATCAGATTTCACTGAATATGGCTGTTTGAGGGTCTAATACTAACATCAAAATACATAAATCTAGCTGGGTGTGACGTACATGCCTGTAATTCCAGCACTCAGAAGGCTGAGGCAGGAGGATCCACAAATTTGAGGCCAGGCTGTGCTATATACTGAGTTCAAGACCAGCCTGAACTACCTGGTAAGACTGTGTCTCAAAAAAATAATATAGGGCCAGGGATTTAGCTCAGTGTTTGTGCTGTGTGCTTCGCAAGCGCAAAGTCCCAATTTCGATCCCTGGTACCAAATATATATATTAAAAATTTAAAGGGGAAACACACAAAGCTAGTTACACTGACAAAAAATTTGGACAGGGATGCATTACTTGTAAACATGTTAAAGGAACTTTAAAGCTAAGTAAAATCTTGTTATGTTTATAAACATAACCTAAATAGATTTTAAACTAAAAATGCCCTCTACATTCAACCATTTATTTGGAAAGAAAAAACAATTTTCATTACACTGCAATACATATAAATTATAACAGTTCTTTATCATGTCAACAATTATACCTATGCTTAAATGACACCACACTGCCAATGGAATTTTCATTAGTAACAACATTTCTCCACTTTTCTCAACTTCTATCAATAATTATTTATTACTTTTATCATTTCACCCTCTATGGTAAGGGGGGGAAAATGCTGACAGACAAAAATATAAAAGGACCAATTGCTCAGAATTAGAAAAGTGAACTAAAAATGAGATTTCCTGTTGAAATTATTTCCTTTTCATTGTGGCTTAGACGCCGGCCAAATGTACAGGCATTCCCCTAATATTAAGACCGTGAGATGGGAATTTTGCTCAGTGGCACCAAACCTGTCTGGCAAGTGTAAGGTCATGCATGAGTTCCATTTCCAGTACCAGAAAAAGAAAGAAATTTTTAAAAAAATGAATGGGACCATTATAAAATTGCTTAATCTAAGAAGGCATAACTAGAAACTTCTGACATTCTTTTTAGATATATCATAAAATAGATACACAAAATCACCTAACCTCTTCATTTAGTGAATGTGAAAGTCCACATAGCATATCGGTACTATATTCGACCTTAGTAAATCCAATGTACTTCTCATTTTCAGTTCTGCCTGAGACTGGTCCAAAATAATGTTCTAACTTCCATCTCTATCTGCATCCCTCCATTTCCAACTATCTAATTCTAATGCTACCATATATATACACACCCAACGTTTGCTTCATGAGTCAAAATATTACCTTATATTCAGTTATTTGGACAAGAAAACCTGTTACACAAAAAGCGATACCAGCAGTAACTTTACACAAAATATATGTGTAAATAATGCCAGAGGTCAAGTGGAGAATGCTAAAACTCCTAACTAGGTACTAGCATACACAAGGGGAGATCTGTAAATACACTCACTCACTGAATCTTAGTTCTCAATGCCGACTTACAGTATGTTAAAATCATCACACAGCCAGTATAAGGTATCCACCAGCTCCGGGACCTATAAATCTTGTTGTAATTTCCAAGGATCCTGTCATCTTAAACCATGAAATAAAAATGGGAGTATAGTGACACCCAGATGTCTGGTCACCTTGCTACCTACAATGTACAGATAAAACACTATTTATTATTTGTGTTTGCATCTGATACTCTTGGGGGTGGGGGTGTCAAAGCCACAACCAAATCAGAACAGAAACGTTAAGGACATTTTAAAACATCTTGAATGATCATTAATACAATTCAAAATGCACTAGCAGAACCTTCGGTCTACGCGCTACTCAAGATTGCCCCATCCGAATCTTCCAAAGGCTTTACAAAAATGCAGGCGGTGAGGAGAATCAAAGTGTTCGGAAAATGAAGGTTCGGAATTGCTGAGATGCAAATAACAGCTGGCTCTCCTGAAAGACGGGGACTGGCTCAAACAGAGCAGGCTGGAAAGGCGTCGCAGGCCGCCCCTCAAGAGCACATCTCCTGCGAGGATCCAAAAGGGTCGGGCCGGGATCTCGGAGCAGGGAAGACGGCCAGCCCTGCAGGCCTCCGCGCCCGCCGGAGCCCCGAGTGCACAAGCGGAGGCTCGGACCCGAAGGCTGAGGCCTAACCCTGGCGGTGGCCCGGGGCTGCGGTCATCACCGGACGTTCGGGAACGAAGATGACAAGGGAACTGGGACCCGGAAAAAGTGAAAGGAAAGCATGGACCGAAAGACCAGGGCCCCGAGAACTCGGACGTAGCCTCACCCTCTCATGGTGAACTTGACTACAGCAAGTCTGGAGCCCGCGCCGCTCAGCTCCGGCTGGAAATCCGGGTCGCTCCCGACGGGCTTCACACCCACCATCCTCAAACAGAGCCCGCTCGGGCGGCCGCGGCGCCTCCGGCTTTTGAAGCGAAGAGGAAAACCGAACGAGAAAGGGGAGAAGCTCAGGAAAAGCGAGGCCTGGACGGAGGAGTTGGCACAAACGCGTCTCCTCCCGGGGCTCGCAGTGCCGAGTCACGCCAGGGAGCTGAACGGCCGAGGAGGCGGGGACGGGAGGGGGAGGGGAGAGGAGCGCAGAGCAAAGGTGTGCGGCACCCAGCAGTCACCGCGCGGCAGTGGCAGCAGCGCTTACGTTCTGAGGTCATTTCCGCGCCGTCCGTTTGGGCGTTCACCACCCAATCCTAAAGCAAGGAATATGGTCCCACCCTAAATTGAAGAACCTCACCCTATCGGAGTGGCGCAGTGCGCGCGCAGATTTGGAGCTGTCTCCTGCGCAACTTTAGCTAGCGACGGTGGAGTTTAGATATTTTCCAGACCCAAGGTTTTTTTTCGCCTAGGAGTTTCATGGGATAGCACAGCGAAACAGAAACCCCTTTTTTCTTTGAGAGTGATGACTGCTGCTTAAGATCAAAAGGTGGGGGTTCGAGATTTAGCTCAGTGGTGCCGCCGCGTGCTTCGCTAAGCGCAAGGTCCCGAGTTGGAACGCGTACAAAAAAAAAAAAAAGTGGTTGAAGGTGTAACGCTTGCCTGTCGTGTACAAAGCCAAGAATTTGAGCATATACTGTATAGCTATTTCTGTAAAAACTTTGAAGATGGTCCTGTTCTGTATTTGGCGCAGAATATTACACACGAGACCAAATACCCACGATATTTTACTTATGGCTCTCATTACATATTGGCGCTCTCGTGCAATCATCCGTGAAGTATTTTACCCTTAAACTATGTCAAAAAGGATGACACCATCTCTCCTTTAGCTAGTTCAAATCTAGTGATGGACACAAATAGTTACATTAAAGATATTTAATTAGGGAACAGTGGAGATAAATGAGATGGGAGAGTGGGGCATGATAAAAGCTAGATGTAAACTATGAATTGAATCTTAGAAAAACAAAAGGGATAAATTAGATGGCAAGATACAAGAACATTCCAGGCAAGAGAACAGCTGAGAAGGCATGGATTGAGCGTAGATAATAGCTAATATTTAACAGTGCATCAGACAGGATATAAATTATATTTATTAGCTCATTTAGTTTTTTTTTTTTTTTTCTTTTGGTACCGGAGATCGAACTCAGGACCTTGTACTTGTCAGGCAGGCGCAGTGCCGCTAAGCCACATCCCCGGCAGCTCATTTAATTTAAATGTTCTATCAGAACAGTAATGGCTTAATACGACAAGTTGGCATTTCCATAATTTTTGTAAATTATTTTATGAGCATGGCGACACTATTAACTTCTCTACCTCAGTTTTCTGGTATGTAACAATTGGGTTACTAATACCCTCTGTCTAGGATTGTGAAGGTTGAAGCTTATATTAGATGATGAACAGAAAGAATCCAAACATAAAATACTCAGTAAAAAAATGTTTATGAACAATGATGTCGACAGTTGGCTACAGCTGTTATAACAAAATACCACAGAATAGGCGGCTTAAATAACAGCAATTTATTTCTTATGGTTCTGGAGAAAGAAATCCTGAGATGAAATTTTTTTTCTTTCTTTTTTTGTTCCAGAGATCGAACTTGGGACCTTGCACTTGCAAAGCAGGTAGCTGAACCACTGAGCTAAATCGTAGGCCCCTGAGATGAAATATTACAAAAATCTTGCAGACAGGAAAACTTCAGCAATGATGGCTTGAGATTATTCATAAAGCACCTTCTACAAAAAGCTAGTAATATAAGTTAAAATAAATGCCATAGCATCTGGGAAAAAGGAGAGACAATTTACTGCTGGAATAGGAGGAGAATGCTTTTTGAAGGAACATGTTCTAACATTCATGTCTAGATAAACCTATGAAGGAAATGCATGAACTTCACAGAAATGACTCCTGACAGTCTTCTCTACTCATCAGGAAGATGATTTGCTTAAGACTCATCTCTTCTTATTAGGTCCAGCCAGTCACTAGAGTAGTGGTGGTGAACTTTTAGAGCTTTCAGTGATAAAAACAGCCCACTGCAGCACAAATGCCGTAGATTCGCCACCACTGCACCAGAGGAAGGCCTTCTTTCATGACTTGTTGCTGCCATAGGTTCACTTTGCTACTTTAAAAACTAGCTGACTGGAGATACGTCATGTATCTCTCTCTCTCTCTCTCTCATAGTCCTTTGCACAAAGGAAGTACAAAATGTTGGTTTAATAAATGAATACTAAGAATATTAGTATACAGCCAAGCTTGGCAATGCATGTCCTCAGCACCTAGGAGGCTGAGGCAGGAGGATCACCAGGAGTATGAGGTTAGCCTATGCTACATAGTGGGTTCAAGGCCAGCCTGAGCTACATAGTGAGGCCCTATCCCCCCAAAACAAACAACAACAACAAACAATATTAGTCTGCAAAATTGGGTATACAAAGAATATTTCTTTGGTGTCTGTAACTCTTTTAGTTTGATTCTGAATCTCTACTTTTCTGCAATATCTAACTAGGACAAAAACTTATCTCTTCTTCAGCCCAACTCAGAAATTATACCAAATTTTTGAGGTGGAGATGGGAGCAGGTCCATGGAGTCTTTAGGATCACTGTCTCTCTCCTGGAACATACTAAAGAAATTCACTCATTTGGAATATTTACCAAACCTCTAAAGTAGATTTTTTTTCTCTCTTTTGAAATCTGTAACTGATTCAGCATTCAGGAGACTAAAATAGGAGGATTGCCACAAGTTCAAGGCTAACCTGGGCTACATAGTGAGTCTGTGGCCAGCCTGAATTACACAGTGGAACTCTGCCTCAAAATAAAAGATATTTGTTTCTGAGATCTAGGAGTCATTAAATTACCTAGAGTTTTATGAAAAAACCTAGGTATTTAGCAGTATGCTTCAGAGCACCCCAGTCTCTTCAAAAGAAGGCATAATATCTTTTAAGTTCTTAAAACAACCTTTAGCCAATTTTGACTGTTAGAATAGAATACCATAGACCTGGTAGTTAATTTACTTTTTTTTCTTTCTTTTTTGAGGCAGGGTCTCTCAGTGTAGTTGAGGCTGGCTTTGAACTCACTGTGTAGCCCAGGCTGTCCTCATACTCGAGGCAATCCTCGTGTCTCAGCCTCCCAAGAACCAGGTCTTTGCATTTTCTGTATATGCAGCTCTGCCTAATGCCAAATACTGTTTCTGGAATCTATTAGATTTGATTCTCCTGGATGGCTACCTATGCGAAAATGCTATCAGGGAGCTTCTAAAAGTGGGTGGCCAATCAAATCTTACAAGGCTTGGGGTTGCTTGCCTCTTTTCTGGAGTTGGATTCCATGTTCTTATCTCAAACAAAGAATTGAATGAAATGAGCAGAAAGCAGTGGCAAAGTTTATTTCAAAAAGTGAAGAGTGAGAGAAAAAAATGATTCTGCAGAGGAAGCTTGTGTTGAATAAAATAGCAAGATAAAAGAATACCTTGCAGAAAACAGTGTGGGCTAGCATGAGGAAAGCCAGTCTAGCAAGCTCTTCTTAGTGGCTGTGTCCTTTTTATACTGCCCAAATCTCAAGGCAACCTAGGAGAACTTCTACATACAATGCCTGAGAGGCGGTGCTAGGATACCACACCTCAGGCTGACATTGTGCCTAGGCCATCCTGTTTAAAACTTCCTTGAGTTCTTAGAAGAACTTCATGTGCAGGGCTTTGGGAACGGTTCTGCACACGTGTCTGGGATCTTGTAATTAACAGGTTACACCTACTTGCCCAGCCTGCTTTGCCATGCTCTACTGTCTTATGTCAATACCAGTAATGCTGAATGAGTAACTCATTCTGATTTAGGAGATAGGGCCTGGCAAGCTGGCTGGAGAAATGAGCGGGACCTGTCAATAACAAGATCCCAGGACAGCAGAAGATAATTCTCAGGACCCCATATGTAAAACTTCCTGAAAGCTTCCATGAGATGTGGATGACATAACATGAAGACCAGATGCCACAAGGAGCCCACTCCCCTGAATTCCCATGATAGCCCACACCGCATTTCTCAGCCATAGCATGTACTTTTACTTTTACCTTCTTTTTCTCTTATTGGCCCAAATTTGCTCTTCAAAACTAGTTTCTACCATACCCATTTACCCCTCACTTTTCAAATAAAATTTTTGGTACCATTTTTTTACTTGTCTCTTCCAGTTCTTTGAGGCAAGAAGGGGAATACTTTTTATTTATTTAGACAGAGGCTCACTATTTAGTTAGGATGGACTTGAACTTATTATGTAGTTCAGGCTGGCCTCGAACTTGTGGCAATCCTCCTGCCTCAGCTTCCTGAGTGCTGGTACTATGGACCTGGAATACTTTTGATTGGCAAGCCACTTCTAAAGGAACTACCCGATAACATTTCCACCTTAATGAATTAAATTTGGCATAAGCAAAATAAAGTGTTTGTTGAGCATGGTGGCACATACCTGTAATCCCAGCACTAGAGAATTAGGAGACCCTGTCACCAAAAAAAAAAAAAAAAAAAAAAAAAAAAAAAAAAAAAAAAAAAAAAAAAAAAAAAAAAACCAATCAGTAGTCTTTAACAAAGATGGAGGAGTTTCTACCTTCCATTTCGGGGGTGGTACTGGAGATTGAGTATAGGACCGATGCCTTGAGCTCCAGCCCAGTTTCTAATGTCTTATTTTGAGTCAAGCTCTTGCTAAATGGTTAAATTTTCCAGGTGGGGACTAAACTTGTGATCCTCCTGCTTCAGCTTCCCAGAATGCTGAGATTACAGATGTGCCCCACCTGCCAGCTAGTTGACTGTGTTCATCTTGTTCACTTATTCCTCAGGCTGCCTCTTCTAGAAAAAAGTTGAACCAAACACTGCGAAAACTAGGCAAGAACAATGAGAAAAGTCACTCTGCTGGTGGCCAGGAAGTGGCGCTTTCTTGAAGAAAATCAAGAGAGTATATCTTGTGTTTCCTATACCTCACTGTTCAGGCTACATGGGTTCCCTTCTTCAAACAGGTTTGGGGAACAACTCTTCTGGGGACAGAAAGAGCTAAAGCTTAAAACTAACCCTTTGCTGAGGTATTGGATAGGTGGTCCTCTCCTCCTCATAGGAAACTTAGAGAGAGAGCATGATCTATGGCCTCAGGTTGCCATACTAAGCGATGGGGGCTATGATTGGCATTCATCACCTTCTTTACTATCTATTCTGATCTC